ATATGCAGATTTGAAATATGTAATAAAAAAAAAGACGCAATTTTTGAACCTACAGTAGACTCCCGAGGCGGATTATCCGCACCTGCAGCATAAAGTTTTTTTTTCCAGTGTAAAGCAAAGAAAATAAAAAATGTTCACAAAAACTGAGCGAAACGTTAAATTTGCTAACATCGTGCTTATTTAGAGCAAAAATATCCCAGGCCTTCTCGGAACCTTTCCCTCTGATGAGTAAGTGATTTCTTACTCACCCTTGCAGTTCCCACTCCACTGCCCTCTCTCGTCTTAATCTTACTGGTACGTACACTTCCTCCCACTCGCCATTGTTAGTTTAAGCCGGATAGTGTTTGCGAACCGGTCGGAACTAATTTCTTATCTTTTATTGTGTTCAGTGCTTGTGCTTATTGGTTTTGTGTTTTTCGTTACTGATTTAAAATGTCAGGAAAACAAAAGAAGGTTGTGTTGATGATTGCGTAAAAACTAGAATTAATTTCCAAAGAAGCAAACGGCGCTATAAGGCAGCAGATGGAATTGGATTACAGAATTGTGGAAACAACAGTGCGTGACATTCTAAAGCAAAAAGACAAACTGGTGAACTTTGCATTAATGTCGGACAGTGCTTCTGCAATGAAAACATGAAAAACTATGAAGGGTTCTACCTTTGATGAGCTAGACATGGCAATGACAGAGTGGTTAGCTCAAGTTCGAAAAGAGGATACACCTGTAAATGGTTCTATCATTGCGGCCAAGGCAAAAACATTTTTTGAGTTGTTAGGCCTGAAAGGAACTTTTGATGCGTTTTCTGGTTCCTTGATTTGTTTTAAGCAGCGACATGGAATTCGAGAAATTGGACTTCATGGGGAGAAACTTAGTGGTGACCAAAAAGCAGCCGACGATTTTCACCATGAATTTGAAGAATTTGTTTTAAAAGAAGAGCTATCTTTTGAACAAATTTACAATGCCGACGAATCGAGACTGTTGTGGAAATGTCTTCCCACTCGCACTTTATCATTTGAAAGTGAAAGTAAAGCCGCGGGTTATAAAAACGACATGGAAAGGATCACTATCATGTCTTGCAGTAACGCAAGTGGTGGACATAAACTTAGACTTGTTGTCATTGGAAAAAAAGGCGAGATCTTTCAAAGGCACAAGGATAGAAAATTTACCCGTTGATTACCTTAACCAAAAAAAAAAAAAAAAGGATGGATGAACTGAAACATTTTTCAAGAATGGTTCGAAAACATCTTTGTTCTTCAAGTGCGTAAACATCTTAAATCGAAAGCCCTCCCTGAAAAAGCTGTGCTATTGATCGACAACGCACCTTCTCACCCAGCAACAAGCGTGCTAAAGTCTTTTGATGGACACATTTTTGCAAAGTTTCTCCCAAACGTTACTGCGCTAATCCAACCCATGGACCAAGGATCATTGCAACAATGAAGAGAACATACTGAACCAAGCTGCTAATGACCAAAATTGAAGAAGGTCTGAAATCTGAGAGAGTTTTGGAAACACTACAAAATCTTGGACAGCATCTACGATATTGCATCTCATGGGACTCAGTGAAACCGTCAACCCCCATAAAATCATGGAGAAAACTCATGCCTAATGTTGAAGCCAACAACAACCTAACATCTTTGAGTTGTGAAGAAGAGAATGAAGATGTAGACATACGCCCACGGCAAACTCTTGCCGATATGGTGAAAACAGTTCCAGGTGGTGAGAACGTCGATGCTGAAAAACATTAACGAGTGGTTGGAGTGTGATGACGTCAACGAACCTGGCTTTGAACGCTTGACAGATGAACGAAATTGTGAAGAAAGCAAGGGGAGAGACCGAGAATGAAAGACAGCAAAGTGAAGGTGAAGAAGAGCCCACTGTGCAGATGCGGAAGACTCATGAAGTGGCTTTGCAACAAGTCGACGGACTGCTGAGCTATTTGGAAGAACAAGATGACGCGGAGTTGGCCGATAAACTTATGCTACGAAAAATGCAATCTCGGATCAAGAGAAAATGCTTCCAAAGCAAGAAGCAAACACAAATGACTGATTTCTTCAAAAAAGTGTAGTTTTGCAGTTATGCTTTTAAAAATTACATAATACATTACAGTATTAAAACAATACATATGTATTAAATTTTCTGTGTATCCTTGACGCCTCTCGCAAGCAAAGCACTTTTCTGTTTTTATTAACAAAAAGCATTTTAGGTTAGTTTTGAGTGATATACTAAAATATTAAGCATTAGTTAAACATTTCCTACTGTTTATTTTACATAAAATGATTTTTCAAAGTTGGAATGACTGTTTTCTCTTTTGCTATACCCGTTTTTAGCTTTTTTTCGGATTATCCTCGGTGGCCACGCCACCCAATTCCGTGGATAATCGGGAGTGTACTGTATTCTGATAAAAAAAAAATAAAAAAATAAAAAAAGTAAAAAATAAATAAATAAATAAATAAAACGCAGTGAGAGGTTTAAGTCATGAATAACAAAATTTTAAACTTTGAAAAAGAAATTAAACAAGTAATTATCGCTATTGATCGGAAATTAGCTGACTTTTCAAGGGCAACAAACCAACTCCTGTTCAATGAAAAATAATTAATAGGTGCGAAGGTGTTTCGTCTTTTAGTCAAGTAAGAATGATGATGCCAAACTGGCAAATTAGGCCAAAATTGTAATTTGTGAAGTGATGGGATTTATAGCCAAAGTAGAGTATCAAAGAACTCATTCTGAATGAAGCATTTTTGCTAATGAGAGATTCTTTAGAAATTTTGAGTGAAAAGCCAATTTATGTAGTAAAATTCACAAGATACTTGACTAAATGTCCCCCGACACCTTCGCTTTTACGCATGTTAATTCCAGACTGTTTTTATAAAAATAAACATAATAAACAGCAGTAATCATAACTGGAATTATGAAATAGAACTCAAAGTAATTGAAATTAACGTGAGAAACATAACCATGCTATCTTTGCAAAAACAAATCAAATAAAAGTTGAAAAATTAAAATATATATAACAAGAAACTGGAACCAATCATTTAACATAAACTATTGGACTAACTGTGACAACAAGGCTGCCCTCTGGTGAGCAGCCAGAGAAGGACTTAGCCCACTTGACAGGTTGTATCAGACTCTTGCTCTGTACTTTTCTTAAAGTTAAATGTAATGTCTATGTGTAACTTAAACCTGTTAATAAATACTTGTTACACTATATCGGATTCTTCTATGACCCTATCTAAAATGAACCCCTCACAAAATAATGAAATGTAAAATGTGAAATGTATATGAAATATAAAAGGCCAGAAGTTTTGAATTAACATGCATAAAAGCGAAGGTGTTGGGGGACATTTATTCAAATATCTTGTAAATTTTACTAAATAAATTGGCTTTTCACTCAAAATTTCTAAAGAATCTTGCATTAGCCAAAATGCTTCATTTAGAATAAGTTCTTTGATACTCTACTTTGACTATAAATCCCATCACTTCACAGAACTACAATTTTGGCCTCACTTAATTTGCCAGCTTGGCATCATCATTCTTACTTGAGTAAAAGACAAAACATCTTCACATTTATTAATTATTGTTCATTGAACAGGAGTTGGTTTGTTCCCCTTGAAAAGTCAACTAATTTCCGATTAATGACGATAATTACTTTTTTTTTTAATTTTTTAATTTCTTTTTCAAAGTTTGAAATTTTGTTATTCATGATTTAGAAATCATTCAAATCCCCTTAAAAAGTCTTTTTTATGATTTACATTCAAGTTCCTTTAAAAAACAATTTTCGGAATTAAACTTCCTACTTATGGGTTCCCTTATTTTGATACATTCCACTAAATTTATATTAGGAGATAATATAATAAATATTTCTTTAGTAAATAAATTATTATTATCTTACTTTGCAGCTATTGTGCAAGTATTAGAAAAACTTGGTTTTGAATTCAATGAATTTAAGATCATTCAATGTATACATATACTTATATACTTTTGGTGTGGTTGATTGCAAACAAAATATGAGGTGCACATTTACATTTATAGCAGTCCTATATACAAAATTTCAATGTTCTGAGGCTACTCTTTTTTGAGTTATGCAAGATACATACGTATGAAGAGACGCCACGAAAAATTCTCTTCAGAATTCATTTTAAATCAGTTTTATAATTTTTTTGGGGGAAAAGAATTCTTTACTCTGTCCTCATGTATAGATGCTATGCCAAAACATTGTTAAATGGCATTCAATAGCAGTCAAAATGGATATTTTCATTGAAATAGGATACCCGAAAATTTTCGTGATTACAATACTTCCTTTATACTTCATGCAAAGAAGTAAAGATGGACAAAAATTCAAGGGATTCTGAAAATAATTTTAATGTGGGAACATACATCACAGTCATGTCTGTACAGCACAAATAATACACATTTCATGTGACAAAACCACATGCCGATTATGGACTGAATGCATAAAACTGGTTTAAGAACTGTAGTTAATTGAATTTTAGTACCAAATATGGCAGCAGTTTGTTTCTTTGTAAATATATATAAGTAAGCAATAAGGCTAAGTAAAGCATAAATAATTTAATAACTTTAACTGAAATGCAGCCTGCAAAATTTATGAAACAATAGGAAAACATTCAATAAAAAAGCGAAAATTATGGTATGCACAAAAAATGTTTTAGGAGAAGTCATTTAGAAATACTTGATGGTAAAACTTTCAATGCCCTTAGAGCACAATTCCAACACTGTACATCAATCATATCATAAACTGCAATTTTCTCTTTAACTGACATGATCTTGGAATCATGATGAACCTACAATTATGTGATCTTCTCATTATTCTGCATTGATAGCTAAAATTTAAAAGACAGTTACACAGCAAAAACTTTATTTCACTAAACTTTATTTATTAAATTAAAATTACTTTAAATATCAGGACCTTTGGAGAATCCTGCAGAATTTAATAATAATAATGTGCTCAATTTTACGTCTGTCTATAATTTTTCTTGCATATATACCGATATCAGCTCTCTCACTGTAAGATTATTCTCAATTCACACACACAAAAAAGGGGGGGGGGCCTTTGGTACTTCAAAGGTGTTGGAAACATCCGACGTCCATGGCTGTTACTATTTGACTTCAACCTGATTCTTTAACTGACGTCTTAATTGGACAATTAACTTCATAGTAGGTTCATCTGGTATTTCTACGCAACTAATTTTTATGGCATATTAACAAAAAATTAATAAAGTCATGACAAAATATTACAAGTTAATAAACTTATTTCATTAAAATAAAAATCCATTCATTTCACCATTAAATTATAAAAACATATTGAATCCTTACATTTTAAAAAATATTTAAATCACAGAAAATAATATAAACATGCAAACTACTTACCAAAGGATTTGGCCTAAACCTGTATGCCAACATCATTCGTTTACGATAAGCTTCATATTCGTCGTCATCAGACTTAATATCATCTGGCCTACTCTGGCCCAAACCAGCATTTTCAACAGGTGCTGCACCTCTAATTATAAAGAAGAAAAGCATAATATATTTCAGAAAATGCTACTTATAAAAGACTTCTGAAAGGCAGTTTTATTACAGTACAAAGTCCAAGATCTGAAAGCTTCGGGCAATTGGTTTTGGATTTCAAAAATTTCAGAATTTTAGACAATCAATTTAAATCTTGCACATAGAAATAATAAAATTAAAAGTATAAAAGGTAGTTTGTGAAATGATGAGCATTCATGATCTCAAAGAAATCAAAACTTAGCCTCTGCCACAAAAAGGTTGAATTTTAGCATTTATTTTGGTCAACTTAAATATTTTTTTAATAAAGTAAGTTATTTAAGTGATTGCATTTTATGCATTAATACTTTCTCTTTAATTTTTATATTAAAACATAATTTTGTTTCATTGTTCGAATGTAATGTCGAGAAATTCCATAAGTAATCAATTGAAATCTTTTCATTTTCAATAACTTCTTTATTACTTTTTTCAAAATTTATAGCGGTATTTTCTGGATTTAAAAACATAATACACATTTCATTGTCTATCAAATGACTAATGATTGAGGCATAGTCATTGCAGCCTTCTATACTGCTACGCCAATGAAATATACAACATTCCATTCTAAATAAATACTGGTTGGATTTTCTTATTATATACAGGGCTAGATATGATAGTAAAATGCTGCTGTCCACAATTATTAAAGAACTTGCAAGGTATTTCTCCCACCTTCTTGGCGTGCCTTCGTGGTGTGGTGGTCTGCACGCTGGGCGTGTGTTCCAGAGGTCTGTGGTTTCATTTTCGGCGAAGGTGTCGTTAATTTTTCATCTCTCCTGCTTAAAAAAAAAAAAAAAAAAAAAAAAAAAAAAAAAAAAAAACCTAATGTCTCTACAGTGGCGCCCAAACTAAAAGGGTGCTGGATGATGACTCTCCTTACCCAGGATTTGGTGATTGGGTCCCCTAGAAACCTCAGTCGCCTTTTAAAAGGGGGAGTATATAATAGATTTCTCCTGGCTTCTGAGTGAGCCTTCGTGGTTTAGTGGTCCACATGCTCAGAGCGTAATTGAGAGGTCCGCGGTTCAGTTCCTGGCAAAGGCGTTGCAAATTTTTAATTTCTCATGCTTCCAAAAATACTAATATCTCTACAAACTGAAGCCGAAACAATATGCAGGGTGCTTCAGCATTTTTGGATAATGAAACTTTCCAAAAGGAAAAAAACTCAGCTAATTGGAATGAAAACTGATTTACAATTGCTGTGCAGTATTACACTGAAGAAGAAAAGGGAAAGATCTTTTTAAAAAAAGATTTACGGACAGACCAGTTAACAGATCATTTTAGTTATTGGATATCCAGATTTTAGACTTATACCATCTTCACAACTAACTTTCTGCTAGCAAAAAATAATTTTTGCTTTGTTAATGGCTGAAGTGGATAAAACTCGCAAATATTAATAAAAATATTTAAAACATTCAATAGGATTTGGTTCATGTGATTATGGCAAAGATTCAAAGGCTGTCTGCCTAAGGAGAGGGATGTCTTCATGGAGGACTTTCTAAGGAAAACTTGCTCATATACATGTTACTCACGGGAAAACCAACGAAAACACCCATGCAGTCTGCCCATTTTACAGTATTCGAACCTCGGACCAAACTACCAGCGTTCAGCGACTTTGTATTGCTTTGCCATTGGTGAGCCCCATTCAGTAGGAATACTGGATGAAAATCATAATGCAGAATATGCTCCCATTCCCTGGCTTAGATCATAATCTTCAGAATGTCTCTTGAAAATCTCATTAAAATAATGGCAAAAAGAATGGAATTTTTGTGAAAAGGCAGAAGCACATTTAACTATCTGCTGACAGTTTACCAGAACTGTCAGCAGATATGATTGACTTTATGAATGTTTGATGGAACTTATGGTCTCCATGAAATGAGCATTATATTTTTTATGCAATTTAATTTTGCTTTTAGTTTTAAATTTCTCTTTTGCGTAAATATGTTTCAAAATTTATATACAGTAAAATTATATTATTATTTATGATATAGTAAAATTATTTTGATTCTGCAGATACATAACAGGACATGATCCCTTTGTATCATTTTACAACTAACACAGATTTACTAAAATGCATCACTATGTCTGTGGGGATACTAGATCTCCAGATTATTATATAATGGAATGTCTCTTAAAAAAATTCCATATTAAATTTCCTAAAGCTAATATCATTCCTTTGAAGAGATTCCTTGTTAAGCTAAGACATCAAGTTCTTAAAATTTGTGAAATTATGAATCTACTTGCTGCATTAAGAAAAGATATTTGCCATCCCACTTAAAAATATAAATATAGTATCATATTTCATTATGTATTCCATAAGCTCATACACAGTAATTTTATTTTATGAGCATATGGTGTAAAGGCTTAATTAAGACATTATGATTGTTTGTATGATTGACTTTATGAATGTTTGATGGAACTTATGAGCATTATATTTTTAATGCAATTTAATTTTTCTTTTAGTTTTAAATTTCTCCTTTGCATAAATATGTTTCAAAATTTATGCTTTTAAATTATGTACCGTAATATGAGAATATTATGGTTATTACTATTTAAAATAAATATACAGTCCAAAGTCGTTTATTCAGACACCCATAATCCGGACCTCAAAGCTACAAACTTTCTGCGCATGCGTCGCCTTGACGCAAAGGCGTTTCTTCAAAGCGCATAAGACCTTTACGGCTGCACATATTATGTTTACGCATGCACGTTTAATGTATAACGGACGGTATAAGCTAAAACTATCTAATTATCTATTTCAGTTAATGTTGCAGATTGCACTGTTCCTTAATTTTCGAATTGGATTCGGCTTATTATTTTTTGCAGACTGTTAGAGCAATTTTATAAAAGAAAGCTTGAACTTTCGATTATGTCAAATAGAATTTCTGATGCTGGAGCTCCCAAAGGATCTACAAAGCGAAAGTATGTTTCAATGTCCATCAAACAAAAAGTGGAATTGCTGCAAAAAATGGATAAAAGGCATATCATTTGTTTCTCTAACCATTCCGAAATCTGTTTATCAATTTCACGCTGCTCTGCGGCGGGAGAGGGGGGACACCGCGCCGTGCAATGAATTGGAAGTTGATCTGTCAGCACTATCCTTATCTTCAGGTCAGATGTTTTTATTTTATTTGGCTTATAATGCCTTACTAAATGTAGTATTTCATCTCGATGTATTCTGTCTTTGATATGATTTAAATCAAATTCCTCGTCATTATAATTCGCTTCTGATAGCAAAGAAAGTGACACAGAGGTTATTGAAAACGAAAAAATTTCGATTGACAAATTAATCGGTATTCTCGACACAGCAATTATAGGACTTGAACAGCGGAACTTTGTAACTGAACAAGAAATTATGCCTGTTTATAGAATTAAAGAGAAAGTATTATTGTAAAACGAAGCAACTTAAACAACTTACATTGAAAGAAATGTTTAATAAAGTAAACAAATAAATATTAACCTTTTTTTTATGTAAATTTTCATACCCTTTAGATCATAATTGTTCTTTATTTCATGAATTACGGTTTCATATTTTTAATTTTATAATTTCTGCATGCCATCTTATTTAAACTGATTTATTAGATTAGATTTAAACTGATGATCTATAAATCCGGAATCGCCGAAGTCTCGACGAGTCCGGATTAACGACTTTTGACTGTAGTAAATCTAGTTAACGATGAATATGGGACAATACTCACTAACCACTGGTACACACCAGGTGTCTCATATCAACAAACGCCACGTCCCAAGCTACATCAACTGAACTGAACTAATTTATCAAATTATTAATTATTATAAATTTGAGCATATATACAGACACCAAAGAGGCATTGCATTATGACCACCCTGGTAAAAACACACAGGGCAACATTTAACCCTCAAACCTACCAGCACACAGCATGGCACTGACTCCACAAGGTACTGATATGTAATTTGAGGTATATGGTACCAAGCACTCACCAATTGATCCTGCAATTAACGAACACCGAGACGGTGTTGCGTGGCAGCATGAATTTGGTGTCCCAGGTGGGACCACAAAGGCTCTATTGGATTAATGTCAGGTGAATTTGGAGGCCAAGACATAACTTGAAAGTCACTGGAATATGCTTCGAACCACTCCCTGACCATTCAACCCTTATGACACGGTGCATTATCCTATTGGTAAACACTATCCCCCGCCAGAAATACTGTTGTCATGAATGGGTGAACCTGGTCTGCAGCTATGTTCAAGTAGCCTACAGATGACAGGGATTGTTCTATGAAGATTATGGTCTTAATGGTGCTCCATGGAAATATTGCCCCCACCATAATACCCCTGCCACAGGCTTGTCTCTATCCAATTGCGATGCAGGAGCCAGTGTTTTGTTTTGAAATCAGTGTATTAGCACATACCCGTCAAATGGATGGACCAGGAAATATGATTTGTTGGACCATGCAACTTTCTTGCATTCTTCTAATGTCCAATTCCAGTGTTTCTTGGCCCACTGCAGATGAAGTTGGCGATGGTGTGCCACCAGTGCAGAGACATGCTTCAGCCTCTGGCTGTGTAGGCCCAGATGCAGTAATGCACGCTGCACAGTATGTTGAGAAACACTGTCCGAGTCGCCTCTGTTGTAGCTCTTTGGTCATGGCAAACAATACGTAGCAATCTCCGCTCTCCTCTGAAAATCAATGCGCTGTTGACGACACATTGTTGGTCAGCGACTTTTCATTTCACCATCCATTCCCACTTTCAATATGTGCTCACAAATGCACGTGAACAGCCCACTAAACGCGCCATTTCCAGTCATCGAGGCATAACGATTTGATCTTCATTAAAGTCTGGTAAATCAGCTGCGTTTCCCATTATGCTAATAATCGCGTTACGTTTGGAAAGACAATGCATAGCGGCTTTATACACTCCAACATTAGCTACACACATGCAGTGGTTTTGTTTTTGGGCGAGCCCATTGTTATAGATGG